TAAAAAAAAAAAAAAGCGATGAGGGCTATATGGGGGGTTAGATGGGGTGTTTTAGGGGTTATATCGGATTATGTAGAGGTTATTTTCGTCATATTTCAGTAGTCCCTAAACATCAATATTGCTATGCAACTGGGAAATGCTTGGTTCACTAGCTCGTACAAGCATGGCCCGCAGCCAGCAGGTGTCACTTTTAGGGTTCAGGGATTTCGGTGTCTTGGGGTTGACGGGAATGTTGGCTTGAACAAGAGGATTGCCCATAGCTGAGGCATCCCCATGCTAGGATGGTAAATACCTGGGACCCAAAATAGGTATACAGGAATATAGCATGCACCTACATGAACCAAAATCTAAACTCCTGATTTCCCCCTAGTAACCCCTACAGTAGTCCCCTCCATAATCCTTTAAATAACCCCCTTTAAAAAGTTTAAACTATGGCTCACATGGACCTTTTGCGGCAAAGCAAGCCAATTCTTAGGTTTTGTGCTCTTTAGGGGTTTAGGGTTTAGGATAGAATGGAAATTTTCAAAATCATCCCTAAACCCTGAACCGCCCAAGGGGACCTCCATCATCTCTACAGAATCCTCACATGTCCCGAAGGTTACTAAGGGGTTTAGGTTTAGGGTTTAGGGTTTGCCATGCCCGAACCGTAGGGATCCAACATACCCAAAGTAGGTAATCTTTACTGACTTCAGGGCCAAAAGTGTAAGTATTGTTTGTATATATGTACATGATAGTTTCCCTAAATAGGGGGACCCCAATATAGAGCCCAAATACTATAATCCTTAATATAGGGACCCCCAATTAGGTACCCCTAATTTTGGGAGACCCCCACATGGATCCCCAGGGAAGCTTAATGCTTCTGCAGGTGGATGTGCTACTACAGCGCGAAGTGGAATCCAGACTTTGTCGCCGCCAGGGCTGATTAGGTCAAGCTTTTGTCTGAGCTATAGTCTAAACTCCGTAAAGGTGACTATATAGGGGGTTATATATGGGACTACTATAGGCCTTATGAATGGGGATACTAGGAGTTTAGACTATGGCTTATACAGCCAGTGTCGTGCCACATTGGGTTTAAGGTTCAGGGCATGTATGCCACCCACAAAAGTTGCCTCAAGTGCCCTGCACCTCTGTCTGATAGATGGTAGACCCAAACCCTACACAGTTGCAAGCCCTACAGCACGAAATTCCCAACGGGAGTTCCTAAAAGTCTCTATGCGTCCCTGGTCTCCCGAGTTGTGCCATTCTTTGTCAAGACCCAACATACTATACATGTGATCCCACAATTCAACCCGATCCCCTTACCTCACAGTCCTAAACCTTAAAGCTTAAACCCTCTGCCGAAACCAGTAGGTCAATCTTGGGGACAACTTTTACTGGGGCGGCATCAACGTGCAGTGTGGAGCCCCAATGGACAAGGTACAGGACAGCGCTTCGTAGTGGAGGGTGTACATGCTTCAAGGAAGGGGTTAGGCGTAGAGGGTTTATAGCGTAGAGGTGAAGAACTTTCTCAAACCTTGCCACAAAACCCTAAATCCTAGATCCCAAACACCAAACTAGAACCCTAAACCCTTAGAACATTCTTGGGCTTCGAGACCCTGAGTTGAAGACGAAGGTAGGGTTTGGAGTTCTTCTGGCCAGAGGGGAGGATCTAAGGACTTGGGGAGGGACCCCTAATAGGGACCCTTGTAGCTTATGGGGATTAGTATGGGGACTACCTAGGGATATAGAGATTCTATAATGACTATATAAGGGTTATATATGGTAATGGGATTAAGGGTCCCTATTAGGGGTCCCTCCTAAAGTCCCTAGGGAGGATGTGATCCAAGCAGCGCTAGTATCGTCCCTATGTGAGCTATAGTATAAATTCCTTACGGGGTTTATAAAGGGGGCTCTATAGGGGAGTATGGTAAGAATTATTAAGGGGGACTCTAGGAGTTTAGACTATGGCTCATGTGACCACTTTCTCAAAGAGGGCTGCATAGTTTTGAGTTCGAAAATCGGGACATTAGTCTGTAGGTTCCTGTTTTACAAAAAGGGCTTGTGTAGCTATACGGTAGATAGCTGGGACCCAAAGTAGGTATATAGGAACCCTGTTGGGCCATAAGTATATACCATACACCTACATGGACCCTTTGGGGTACAGGTTAGGGGTGACATGTCCACAACTGTACAATCAGGACTGCCGGCCTAGGACACTACTTGAGAAGCTTCTACAAAAGCCGCAGCTTGCTTAGCCTCAGCCTATGTCAATGGGATACGGAAGCTACTAGAATTCTGGAGACACAGACAGGCTGGACGTGCTAAGGGCTTCCGGCGTAGGGTTCGGTATGCCAGACAGAAAGGGGTTTGAACAATGCGTGCTGCGAAAAAGCATGGTATTCCCCCAGGTAGTGCTCTAACGAAAGGGCCTTGCATTGACCGCAAAGGGAATTGGTTGGCGTGACCACGCGTTTGCGCGGCTCTCCCTTGCCCATGAAGCTTCTTCGTAATTTCGCCCCAGTTCACCCACACACCCGCAACACGTTTGCCTGGTCGTCTTGACATGCTCTTGGAGTGCCCGGAGTTTTCCCGGAGTGATCTTGGTCTGATTCGGTGTTTTCTGGGCATTTGTGGAGCTCGTCAAGTGCTCTTGAAGGTCTCTTGGTTGTTTTATAGTGTTCGCAGTCCACACTGAACTGTGGCGCCGTTGATTGCAGGGGCTGGAGGCAGTTAGGCAGTTCGGAAAGATTCTAGAGCAAGTCATAGATCTGCAAAGGGAGGAGAGGTGAATACTGGGTTGCTGGTAAGGAACAAAATAACTGATCATATTATGGGTATATAGTAACTAAGAGAGTTTTCCTGCATTTATAGCAATTTGAAGAATCAGAAGTGTCCTCAACACCAACCCACTTAACTGTTGGACCTCTACCCCGAAAGGTAGCGAGCCTTGCCATTTTTTTGGCTGGTGGGGTAGGGGGGTCGTGTCTGGTTTTTGCTAGAATACATGCGACATGAAACTAGAGGTCACGGGGGCATTACATTCACCCGGTAAACCCTCTCCTTTCGGGGGCATCGTATTTCAGATGGTGTAGAGTTTATCATCTTGCGTGGTTCAACCACCTACAAGAGCACTTAAACCCTAAACCCTAAAACCTAAACCCTAAACCCTAAGCCCTTAGCCCTTAAACCCTAAACCCTGAGCCCTTAAACCCTAAACCCTAAAGGAGTCCCTGAGGACCCTGGGTTCCAGTGGAGCAACGTTTACGAGAGCATGTACTCTTGTGACGCCCTCCAAGGATGCTTGGCTCCCTTTAGGGTTTAGGGTTTAGGGATTATTGGGAATAGTGGAAAAGAAAATGGAAACTACTAAGGTATGTATTGGGGTTTTAGTCGTATTAGGGTTGTAATTAATTTGGGGTATATTGGGAATAAGGGAGTATATTGGGTGTATACTGGGCATAATGAAAAAGAAAATGGAAACCACTGTAATCTAGCAAGGTATATATGGGGGTTATGGTCATGCTAGGGTTATATTGCTGGGTCCAAATGGAATGTAGTCCAATGTAGTCTCTTCTTATTCATCTACTCATGGGAATATGTAATGAAGATTAGAAGATTTGAATACCCTCTGTACCCCAGCGTGGAACCAGGGTAAGGGGTTCAGCATTCATATTTCAGGCTGTTTAGGGTTTAGGAGTTTAGGGTTGTGGCGGACTAAGAGGATCAGGAATCCCGGAATCATGGCGCAAGTTTCTTGGACGCTTTCGCGCAAAAGCGTGAAAGATCTGCTCCTTCCAGTCAGCTCCACAAGAAAACAAAAACCGATCAATCTTTGTTGTCATTGTTGATGAGGAAATCCGTGTAGACCCTCCAGATCGCAAGAGTAACCTTTTCGAGATTTTGGAGATACTGTCATTGTTGATGTGGGCGGGCAAGCCTGCCCCGCCCTAAGTCCCTTAAGGTACAGTAGTTTTCCCTAAACCCCAAATACTAAACCCTACACCCTACCATAGGTGTAAGACTTCTTTAATCAATAGTAACCTGCAATTCTTGAGAGGCCTGGTCAGCTGCCAGGTCAGCCAAAAAAGGGTAACGCAGAGTCTTGTTGTGTAGGGCTGTAGACAATGTTGATATCATGCAGGTCTAACTTCTTGCAGATTCATAATGTCATAAGGGTCCTCAGACGTGAGTCTTTTGGAAACTACTGCTGATGACCCCCGGATAGCACCTCCGCTGTGCGCAAGCGTGAGCCAGCCAAAAACAACGTCATGGCCGCTCTCGCGGTGACTCCAAGTACGTACTGCCGCTGCATAGAGATCCTGATTACAGTCGAATATACTTCTCTGAGAAAGATCACAAATCACCTCATCCCTATTGTGGAGTGAATGTGATCACAGTAAGCCAACACATTGGTACTGCTGCATCGCAACAATGGCAGCAACGGTAGCATCAACAGATATGCAGTTTTTCTACTGAGTACCAAATGAACGAAACTATCCCCCCCCTAACCCCTCCCCAACGGCTGAAAATGACAACAACTTAGAACTGGGCTTATAACCCTGCTAATAAGTGGGTAACCTACATTAAGTCCAGTTAGGAGGGTTATAAGCAGGAGTATAAGCCCAGCTATACTTAGTCACTACAGGTCCCATGAATCTTCAAGCAGGGCTTAGGTTTGAGATAGTGTAAAGGCATGATCTCACAAAGTCTAGGGTTTAGGGTTTATCCTTCAAGCCATACTTGTAGGTTCGTGGGGAAAATACACGACTGCGGTTCTAACTGGGGTAACATTTCAAATGTTCAGCCATGATCTAATTTGGGTTATGTGTAGCCCAACTTGTAACGTGCCACCGGCTAGTGCTGCAACCTCACCTGTCAACAGCAATCAAACACTACTTTAAACGGGTTCTAGCATCCCCAACATCGAGCGAGGTCATGTTGTGCTGCTGGTCACTGTACTTTGCAGCAATCTAATCTTAGCTGGCTCATCCAGCAAAAGCACACCTCATTTGAGTCTTCAAAGACCTTCATTTGAAATCTGTACGATGTGAATGGTTCTTCTCAATCTCCAAGGTAGCATGTCTTAATCGGCTGATGGGGTTTGAGATGCGACGGTAGCTGAACCCAGGTGCTTCTCAACAGGTGCCTAATAGAGATGTTGCATGTACTTATAAAGCGCAATATGTAACCTATAGATAACCCCACATAACCCTATATGTTTCTTAATTAAGGTAACTATCCTATGGAATCCCCTGGTAAGTGCAGTCTTGGGGACCCTGTCTTGAGAAAACCGTACCCCGACTCCGTTCAACAACATGTTTTCCCTCTAGCCCTGGCCTAAACCCTAAACCCTAACCTAAAACCCTTGAATCCTAAACCCTAAACCCTAAGCAAAGTCTCAGGATTGCAGTGGCTGGGGGTGCTGGGAAACCACGACTACGGCGGCTTCATGTTCACCAACGGCTGGGACCAGGCAATTGCTTACACCTGGTCGAAGCTGCAGCTACTTGGGACGAGCTTGGGGTTTCAGGTGTTTGAAGTTTTTTAGAGGTATATAGGGTCAATGGGGCTCGCAGGGTCATATTGGTTTTTATTCAGGGGCAGAATTCTAGAGTTCATATTACATGGGGTTCAGGGTTTATAGGGTTGACAGGGGTTCAAAGGGTGTTAGGGGCCTTGCAGTGTTTACAGGGTTTTTTTGGCCTGCAAGTGTAGAGTTCAGGGTTTGCCGTTGGGGTCCTGCAGGATGCAGTCTACGTAAATCCTAAACCCTACACTGCAAACCTCAAACCCTAAACTCCAGAATCTAAACCCTACACCCTGAGTCCTAGACCCTAAGCCCTAAACCCTGAACCCTGTGGCCAGGCAATGTCCTTAAACTCCTTGGGACCCAGCTTGGACCTTAGACCCTTAACCCTTTGGGCTTCCCTTATACCCCTATCTTAGGTACCTAAGGGTCAACCTTTAGTTTGGGTCCTAAGTGCCACATAGTCAATAATGGTTTAGGGTGTCGGGATTTCCGTAATCCTACTTATGGAGACCCCGAAAATGGTACCCTAAAGGTCCAAGGACCCAAATAACAGGGTTTTAGGGCCCAACTACTATAAGATTAAAGGTTACTTGGGCCCAAAAGCCCTACTATTTGGGTCCTTGGACCCTTAGGGGTACCGCTCCTTCAGGGAAAGCCCAAAGTTTCCGCAAGTCTAGCAGTCTCATCTCCTCAGAGCTACCATCTTCAGACATACTGGGTAGTTTTTACATGAGCTACTGTCAATATTAGGCTTACCGGGAGACTATTATGAATAGCAGCAATGATAAGAGGAAGAAGAGCTAAAATAATAGAAATAATGGCGAGAGAAGAAGTGTCCTGAAAGCGTTTGGAGCACTGAGGTGTCAGCCCTGCGACATCTGCATCATTTCATCCGCTCAGTTCTTCATGTGTATGTGCGCCCATCCGTTACTCCATCCATCTATGTTATCGCTCTATAATAGGTTTTGTTAATAACATAGAATCAAGGCATCCCACAAGCATCACCTCCACGGGGAAAAACAACTTGCGCAACGCAGTCGGTAAGAAACTACACTCACATACACATGCGGGCGCGAAAAACAATCGTGTTAATTGTAGTCCAGACTTCTGAAAACAAGCAGCAATGTGGAATTTAGGACACGTTGGGCTTCCGGGGTCCGGCCTACATAGGGGTTCAGGTCCTAATTCGTCGTGTAACGCGTGCCTCGTGCCTGGAAGCAATGTTTCCATGTATGTCTGGTTGAATTGCGGGTGACGAACTTCTTAGTCGTTGCTCAAAACGCCTCTGGGACAACCTTTTTCTAATTCAGAAATCGTAATATATTCCCTAATAAGGGCCCATGTTCACTAACTACTGCAGAAAAGAAAGTATTCAGTGTAGCACACATGGTTGAGGTACAAGTAGTACACTCGACAGAAGCCCAAGGCTTAAGAATTCCCACGCCCGAGTTGGTTTTCTCAAAGTTGGGTGGCCCGTAAAAAGCCCCTAAAGATCTACGGGGGCTGTAAGTTGATTAGTGGTGTCCCCTGGCAGGGACAATATGGGTACCATTGTTTATAAACCCCCACACAGAAACCCTACGCCCGCCGAGTTTCAGCTCCGGGCGATGGTTGCAGCCGTCCTTGTACTACAAGTGCCCCGTAACTCGGCTATTGGCTTGGCAAGCGTCGGGGGAGCTTCAGCAAACATCACGACTACAGACCGCTTCCTGGCAAACCACACAATCCCTGTGCCCAAGGGCCCCGATGTTTCTTACGCATGGTGCCTGTTATCTAGAACACGCTGCGGAAACGTACGAAGACTTTGCACTTTTCCGTGTGCAGCGTGGGCGGTGCGCTCATACCGCACAGTCTTCTACATTCAGCAAGTTAACAAGAGATGAAGGAGCGGCGGAAAGGAGAAATGCATCCTTAAAGTAGTCCCGGTATCACGCTCTATGCAAAAACGTTGTGGTTTGTGGGGTAGTACGTCTAGTGTTGGGCCAAGTTGTTGGGTAAACATTAGGGCTTGCAGATGTTGATGCCGGAGGCATGTCGTACCTGGCGTAGGAAATCACGCGGAGAGGACATGAGAGGACCCACGGTGGAGGCCCCGGCATAGTGTAGAACCATAATTACTAATGTTATGGTCCTGGGTTCCTCATAATTATGGTATAGGGTACCTCAAACTGATCTCAACATGATGTTGGAAGTTATTTACACCCAAAAGTATCGTCGTGCCATAGCAGTTTCCGCCCTTGCCGCAGAAACTCGGCCAGTTCAGAAGCTGAGTTTGGGGACTTGCCACCATGCCGTGAAGCCCAAAACGAGGTTTAGGGTTTAGTGTCTATATAGGGTTCAGGGTGATCCTTCCCCTCTTTATGTATAAGGTCCCAAGCATGGACCCCCAGTGTTCCGGGACCCCTAACTATGAGCCCTTCATTTAGGACGAAGGGCCCATACTAGGCAACCATGGTTGCCACGTTTGGGTGAAAGAATCCCGAGAGCTTTGTTGGTCAATCGGGTTGCTGTTCAGGAACTGAAATTAGTTTACCGTAGTGGATCTGTATGTATATATACACTTTATATCTCTACACAGAGAAATTAATATGGTTTCCCCAAAATCATAATCTAAATTAAGTTCCTTTGCAGCGACCCAGTCTACAAAAGTTAAAGGTTGACCAGCAGAGCCTTACTTCCAGATGCAGGCGCCAAAGCCACCATAGGAACCCTAAATCTTCGTATTTCTGTAGCGACCGACCTTGCCTGCTATGTTGAAGTTAACTTGAACCAACACATGCTAATAAGACCTCTCAGGGCCCAAATATTCCCTAAACCCTAAACCCGAATATTCAGGTTGCAGGTGCCGAAGCAGATGGTGAGTACAGCATTTGGCAACGCATGCCATACGTCATGTTTGGGAGCTTCTAAAATTTATTTCCATGCCGTCCTAAAGGGTGAACCCCATGACTTTCTGCCCCTGATATTAAGCCCCCCACCGCCCCTAATACATTGTGGTATATCATAGTATAGTGGGAGTATCTAATATCAGGGCGGTGTGGGGGGTTATTATTAGGTGGAGAGGATTAACCGGGACCCTAGACCCTGAACCCCATTTGATTAAGCCCCAAATTGACTGGAGGCAGAGAGTCTTTGGGGGGTCCTCTGGAGTTCGATGACCCCTCAAGGGGCGAGTTGGTGTTCTGAGTGGCGTTGATATGGGCATTCTAGGCATCTATTTGGGGCGCTGTGCCGAATAATGAAGCATCACTGTAGACTACATGATGAACATGTAGGGCTGTTGTAGCCCCCAATTAGCACCCGAGGTGAAGTACAGCGAGTTCTCCATGGACATCTTCTTCGTAGACTCAAACATCTTTGATGCCAACGACTACCACGATACCAGTGGGCATAACATTTGCGGAGGCTGCGTGCGGGAAGTAGCGCACCAGAAATTACGTATGTGATAAGCTCATGTCCAATATGAATAGCCATACTGAAAATAGCAAGAGAAACAATCAAGGACGCGCATTACATGTAGGATAGCAGTCACAATGAGAACGCATGAGTTTGATGTGCAAAATGTTGATGATTTCCATGGCACAATACAGAGACCTGAATCATTACTTGGAAGACAACCTTCTGTGTCGGTTGAGCGGTGGCTTCTGCAACCAGGCTGCGTGGCGAAAATAAGCCCTTCCCCTCAATTAGTAAAATATCACCCCCTAATAAAAGAACCAATTGAGTACCTTGCAAAATTCGGGAGAACGTTTATTTGTAGGGCGTTGTTAAATTGATTTTTTTGGGGGGGGGGGGGGCACTTAACATGTCAACCACGGCACATAGGCAAATGCCAGCCTCAGCTAAGCATGCCCACCCCACACTCAGGCTCCCCAACAGTGCCACCGCAAAGGCTTTACCGGCGTCTCTCAAAAGAATTTCTACCGAATCCTCGAGAGGGACCTGATAATAGTGTGTGGTCTCTACATGATAGTTTCCCAAAATAAGGAGACCCCAACATATTACAGTCCTTATTATTACCCCCAATGAGGTACCCCTAATTTTGGAAACCCCCATATATCCCTAGAGCCCTTGAGCCGAGGCCCCCAAGCACTTTGCGAAATCCTCTTGTAGGGTCCTTACGAGAATCCTTCTCCAATCCCTAGCTTGACCCCGGCATTGCCCCAGGTGGTCCCCCCACCCATATCATTACTGTGGGGTAGTTGTATATTCTACACAGCTACACGGACCCATTGGGTAAAGTAAATCCTTTTAAACTTGTCTGATATAATCCTATTCATCCTTAAATGCTTGCTTCTACGCCGAAGCCGGTCAGGGGTGCACAACTACCCGTCGGCCACGTGTGGACTCAGTGGACCAGTCTCTACGGAGCAGCCGAACTTAATGCACACAATTTTTCTGGGTTTAGGGTCAGGGTTCAGAATTTCAGAATGACAAGTATAGGTTATGAGCGAGACAGGGCCTAAGCGGGAGGAACATACTGTATGACAATTTTCCAATGGCCTACAGATTTCTGGTGGAGTCACAGGCTTATGTGAGCTATTGTCAAGATTAGGCTTATTAAGGGACCCTTTGCAGTGGACGTAGGGGTCCGTCTTGTAGTCTAGTATAATCCCTGATATAGTGCCTAATATATATAAGGACTCCATTTCCATAAATTATCTGCCAAACAGTGATCCCTATAACCCCTTGCATAACCCCAGCTTCCATGTCATCTTCCATGTTCTTTCCATTTGTTTCTTCATCCTCCCTAAGTAATCACCTTAACCACTAAATAACCCCAAATAGGAAGTTTGGAGGCCTTTGGGGTTCAATTGAGGGCTGAGTATTCTGATTTGCGTGAGGTTGACCTCAATGTTCATGTTGGGTTTGGGGTTCAGGGCAGGGTTTAGGGTTTGGGGATTGGGGACGCTGAAAATACTGGTCGTCTCAAAGAGTCGGGCGATTGCCTTAGGCCCGTGCCGCACGTAGTATTGAGATTCACCAAAAATGTGCGCGGGGGCGATTCTGCTGAATGTGTACCATTTGGTGCTTGAATTCTTGGTATGCTGCACGGATGCATGGGCGTCATGCTAGCCAGAAGAGAGAAGGCCAAATCCACTGGAAGCAAAATTGATGTACTTGTTTTCATGTTCCTTTCCGCTGCCATGAATATTGCCTTTTGTTTCTTGCTATTGCTAGTAGGCTTCTTCTGACAGTTTCTCTATCCTTTGTATTAGTTAGTATTTTGATTTGTGATATAGCTTTGTTTCTATCATTTCCATTTTACGCGAAGCCCAAAACGCAAACCCCTAGAAAGCTTCTCAAGCCCAGGCAGTGTGCTGACTGGTTCAAGAACCTTTGGGACGCTGAGGCGGGGTTACGCATTCATAATAAAGCTTTGTAGCCACTTAACATCCTGCGTCGTGCCTAATAACCCTGGCCCTAAACCTTAGGTACCATCCTATGTAGTGCCTCATGGCAAAGATTATAACTCTAACCCTTAAACCCTAGGTGACGCTAGTGGTTGGTAATGTGCCTACCTAGCTGTGGAAGGAGCTTTTGCGGCTGTGGGGTTTAGGATTTAGAGTTTCGGGTTCAGGTATTGGGGGGGGAGGAGGGTTGATCCTTCGGGCCCGCGAAGTCCCGTAGCCCAGAGCGGCTGCGCTAAACCATATATCCCCGACCCGTTAGTGAGCCTGAAGCCCAAAAGCTTGAACCTCAAATCCTGAATCATATTCGGGGTCCGCATCACCCATAGCCTAGGCTCCTAATGGGAGTTGTAGGGCTGAAGTAGTAGCTATGCAAGGGACCCCATAGTCAGGGTCCATATTATGGGCCAGGGGTTCCAATGCATAGGTTGTAAGCCTCAACCGCTGAACCCTAAGCGGTTCAGGGCTTAGGTTTCAGGGTAATTCACTTGCTTTGCCATTTCTTCATTGCTGGGCGGTCATATCCTAAGCCCTACATAACCTCCACATAACCCTACATAATCCCTCAAAATCCCCCTATGATCTATATAAACCTTCCCTGAACGAAACCCTTCAACGTAGACACTTTACCTGGTCCCTAAACGTAGGCGAAATAATAGTTCAACCCACCCCTAAAACAATACACCAAAAGACACTTAATATGTACGTCTGTTGGGGCTTCACGCAACTCTAAACTCTAAACCCATAACCCTCAACCCTAAACCCCAAACCCTACACCCTCAACCCTTACCCCAACAGAACCCCTACACAATACAGTAGTTTTCCATTTTCTTTTCCATGACCCTTATATAACCCCTACATGTAAGCCGAAGTTCGTCAGCGCCCCTGCGCCCCAGCGCCCAGGTTCAGTGGCTCGAAGCTGGCCTTGGCGACTCTTCCGCAGATTGGCAGAACCTCCGCAGCAAAGGGATCCTGGGGTTTCCCCAAAATTAGGGGTGGTTATAGGGGTCATGGGGTTATATAGGGTGTAGGGTTTCCCAAAATTAGGGCGGGGGGGTTATAGGGGTTATATAGGGTTTAGGGTTTCCCAAAATTAGGGGAGGGGGGTTATAGGGCTTTTGTAGGGTTTAGGGTTTAGGGTTTCACCCAAAAAATTAGGGGTACCTTTACAGCCCGAACCCCTTGATAGCCGGCCAATAAGATCCACGCAGCCCGCAGCTGTAAGCATCAAATCATGATCCTCCGAAGTATCATCCATATCCCTTTCCCCGGGTCCTGGTAGCTTGACTTTTAAACGCAATCCAACCTTAATCGCGAACACAGCTTCCGAACCAAAATCTCAACCCTTACATGTTCTTACTTCCTTTTGGGCTAACTGGCTCTAGAATGTCATAGTTATAATTATATGAACCCCACATGACCATATGTGGCTATTCACAGTCTTTTTTACTTGTTTTGGTCTAGGAAGAGCCTCCGGCCCAAGAGTTGCCGGACGCGGTTCATGGTTTGGGGTTTAGGATGTCACAACATATTTAGGCTTTTCTCGCAGCAATCCCCATAATGAATTTATCATGATACTTTAACCCTGAGGTCTCTTGGGGACCCCCTTCTTCAGAAACTCCCACTTACCTTTGAAACCCTGAGCCCTACACCAGGCATGGCTCATTGGCTTATATGGGGTCCTTATTAGGGACAAGCTTCCCAGGATAGGCGGGCACACCAAAGCCCATGCTAAGGCACGTTTCAGCTGCGGAAACAGCCCCCAGCAAGCATCTAGCACAGCCCCCCCAACTAAAAGCTATTGGTATAGTGTTTGTGTTGGGGACCCGTATCTCGCGGAAGCTGAGGATCATCGCCACCCACTTCCCACCTGAACATGGTGTAGACGAGTGGCGCCGATTGGGCAAGAGCAAGCCGGCTTGTTCAGATTGCGTGTCCGGCGGTAGTCCCCCATATTGCGCCAATAATGGAGAAACAACTTGAAAATGAAATGAAAAATGAAATGGAAGCTGGGTTATATGGGGGTTATATTGGAGTTATATATATATACACATATATATATATATCAATAGATATAGTGACCCGGAATGTTGTGGGGATTTCCGTGCTTTCTTCATGGAGGACCTACGCGACAGAACAGATCTTGCTGTTTGGGCTCCTGTTGTAGATGCGCACCTGGTAACTTGCTGGACGCAAAGCTCAGGTAAAGAGCCCTCGTTGACCGTCATGACGGCTACTGTTTCTACCCTCCCGGAAACTAACATGGAAGCCCAAAAAGGGCCCTGTACCATAAAGACTACGGTCCCTTTAAAAAGGGGCTACATGGGTTTCCATGTTAGTTTGGGGGGGTGTACTGTCCAGGTCACTGTCAGCAGTGTTGTTCGGAAATGCCAATTACTTAGCGTCATGAGAATCAGGAAGGCTATAGAATTCGAAAGGTTCCTCACACGGCCTCACCTTTCATAATGGTTGTTGGTCAGACTTCGGGCAAAGTCGTGAATGTCGATACCTTGCGCTTTGAGAACTGAGGGCTACCTGAACCCCAAAAGTATGTAAAATAATGGCCTTCGGGTCTGTTTTTTTCGGGGTTTTGGGCCATTGTTGTACCTACTGTTGGGGTCCAGGTAGTTTTCCTCTAGCTGCAGATTCCCACTCCTAGAGTCTCTGCTGCTCTAAACGTCACCCCTTTTCCTGGTAAGGCCCCTGGGATACTGAGCATTTTCCCTAATGGCTTTAATAGGGCACCCTATTGGGGTTATATAGGGATAATGGAAAAGAAGCTGGAAACAACT